GGGGGACCGGGGCGGGCGGGGGCTCCGCGTCATTATCATGCACGGCGCTCGCAGCTCCAGGCTCCAACTCTTCTCACTTGCTAATCCGCGAGAGCTGAGCGGAGACGAGCTCCTGCAGCCTTTTCGGCGTTAATGCAATTTCCTTTTCGGAAATTCGCATCTGCGGGCCAGCGAGATTCCCTGATCGGGCTGGAGAGAGGCCCCTCTTGGGGCATATTTCTGGGCACAGGACTTTTATCTGTCCACACGGCGTGATGTTCTGCAAATTGAGGAGACAGATGGGTCGCAGCATCTCCCCTTTCAGTCCCCCTGCCCCTCCCCCGCGCAACACACATACTCTCCCGCTCCTCCCTCCACCTCCTTCTCTCCCTCTCTCTCTCCCTCCTTTTCTCTCCCGCTCCCTCTCTCTCGCTCCTGTAAGCCTAACCTGCTGCAGGTGGCGGTTGTGCCTGCCCACGCCAGGGTCTTCTATCATGTGTGTGCCCAAGAGGCCAGCCCCTCAGCTCCGGGGGGCTCCCTCTCTCTGGGTCTCAGACATTGTCTTTGTAAACATGTCTGCCATTCTCTATTATTTATATCAATAGAACCATATGTCTCTGTGCAAGGAGTAATGAGGTCAGAATTCAGAAAACCTTGCACTTAGGCATTAAGTAAATTAAACACTAGATAGCTTGCCTGTTAGATCACCTTTTGCTTGGGGGCTAACAGAGCCTGTGGGTTCTGAACTTTTCAGGGAAAAATTATGGTCTTATGGAAGGGTTCAGTAATGTTTTGATGGAGTTCAGAAATGATCTGGGCTCCTCTTAAATAAATGACTTACATTTATGTCCAGTGTAAATGACTGCAACAAGAATGTAGATATATGTTGTTGTACTTTTGCATTCAATTTTATGATTATCGGTTTCTGCCTTATGCTCTTTATCACTCAGGAGGGAAGGCTTGGGGATACATGCTTATTTTATTGCTTATGCTGTGGTCTACACAATAAATACACTATTTGCAAACACCTACAGCTCTTGCTATCCTTTACCAGATGAATACTATTTTGCAATGCAGTCTGGGCTATTTGTTTCAAAATAGAACACAACTGTTGTATTTTTTTCTTCCTTTCCATTCTGTTGTCTGTCAGTGTGACATGGCTTACTTATTTATAACTAGACCAAAAAAGTAACTGTACAAATTACAGATTTCTTTAGAAAGCTGGTTGTATGCATGAACTGTGCATGTTCTACTAAAAGAAATCGTTACTTCTTAGACAATTAATTTGACTTGAATGCAATTAGTACATTAGACAAGAGGATTAGCTTCTTTTATAGACTACCTAATAATGCCAGGAAGCTAGCAAATTGATGATTGTTTCAAATGCTCCATATCTTTTATAATATAGTGAAAATGTTACCTCCTAAATTAAAAAAAAAATGACAAGTAAGACTAATTTGTGTACACTTCAGAGGTTAAAATTGTCTCCCCCTTCTCCCCCTAACTCAGGCTGATGATAATAAATTCAAAACTAAATGCCCATATATTAAAATTTTAAAGCACCTGTTACTATTCATTGGATCAGTTTACTTGCTTGGTTGGATAGGAAAAGAGAATTAATTATGTTTAAGAGGTGACTGCTTTCATTTGATATTCAATCTGAGAAATATGCTTTGATATTTAATCTGAGAAATATGCATATGGTAAATATATTATTTCAGGACTAAAGGGATGAAAGCGATGAAACAGGAGGGAAAGAATGTTTCAACTCTAGAGATATAAGGAGATATGCAGAAATGAAAGGTTTCCACAGCCTCATGTGATGTGTTTGAGCAGAAAGTAGCTGTAATGTGTAGTTCAGGCAAGCTGGCAAGATAAAAGACACTGCTGCAATAGGTTCCTTTTGTTTGCCAGTATTGTCACCATCCTGTATGTATTTACTGAACACCTTTTACACATACTTCAGCATGGGGCATATAGATTTAGTGTAAGACATCACCTCGATCTCAGTGAGTTTATACTTTTAGTTTTCTTTTTAATTCAATTGAATGTATTGGTTAATAAAATTCTATAGGTTTCAGGTGTACAATTCTATAATACATCATCTGTATATTGTATTGTGTGTTCATCACCCTAAGTTAAGTCTCCTTCCATCACCATTTAGCCCCCTTTCACTCTCTTTATCTCCCCCCACCCCCTTTTTTTCTGGTAACTACTGTTGTCTGTATTTTTAACTTTTTTTTTGCCTAATCCCTTTACCTTTTTCTCCCATCCCTCAACCCCCTTCCTCTCTGACTCTGTATCTATAAGTCTGTTCCTTTTTTGTTTGTTAATGTTGTTCTTTAGATTCCACATATAAGTGAGATCATATGCTACTTGTCTTTTTCAAGACTAATTTGTGTGCACTTCAGAGGTTAATATATTTCACTTAGCATAATACTCTCCAGGTCCATCCATGCTGTTGCAAAAGGTAAGATTTCCTTCTTTTTGATGGCCTAGTAGTATTCCATTATAAGAGGTTCTTTAAATATTGACTCCTTTTGGTATTAAACCAAAATATATGTATGAAAACTCTCTCCATTCTTCTTTCTTTCTCTTTGTTTTCTACTATTCATGCAGGTAGATTAATATAGTCAGTTATATATTTTAAACTCTAACATGTTATATTAAACACATTAATTCACTACAATGATGCGGTATATTCTATTGGTTAAGTTAATGATTGAAATGGAAATGTATTTATTGCCATCAAAAAGCATAATATAATTATTTTGTGTTTCTGTTAAAAAATTTTAAAAAAATTGATTATTATATACTGTTTAACATATGAATATTCTAGAGACACAGACACAGTATGTAGAAATGAATCACCTCCATTGTGATCTTCTTCATCCCCCCACCCCAAAGAAAGGCCTTTTGACACATTAAAAAGTATGCGATTTTGAAATTACGCTTCTACTTTAAGGCTGTGCATTGACTGAGTAATTTCATCAGACCCACATTACTTGATTGCTTAGAAGTTTCCTAATGATCTGCATGCTGTAGGAAGAACCAAAAAGTCGTGAGTGGAATGGCAATGATACTGTGTTTTATGAGGCTATTCAAAAGTCGCTCTGATTTATGTAGCTAGAAAGCTCCAAAGTCTTTGAGATTAGCCACGCCGAGTGCTATTTTCTTCATACATCAGTCGTCCCACACTCTTGACTCCCTTAACACAACAGGAGTTTAGAGCACTGCTTTAATTAAGCAGGGATTAGGTGGCATTTCCAGCCAACTGCACAGTTTGTGCTTTGCTTCATATCTAATATGGAGGATCTCATGCTTTAACAGCTTAATGTATGCTCATTTCTTTATCTGGGTCTTGTGCTCACAGAACTGATTGAAATGAGCTATCCTCAGTTATATGTCTCTGCAAGGAAACACTGACACTGAGTACTTATTCATTTATTACAAAAATGACTAGCATGTTTTTGTTGTTGGCAGTCATGGTAAAATACCTTATGCCAGCAGGAACTAGGAACCAAGCATTTACTCATGCTTTTCTCATAAGCCATTGATGCTTTATCCTCCAAGATCATAATCATCAACTATGACATTTGAGAAGCCTTACACAATTCAGAGTATTTTCATCATGAGAAAGTGCAAATTAAAGTACAAAATTGGTGGTTGAGTAAAATGTGTCAGTGCATTATAAAACACAAATAGAGGGTAGATTTAAACCATCAGTTTTTATTCTGTTGCTATTGAGGACTGTTCTATCAAATACAGAATGTAAAAGCATTTCCACTGTGATTTGCATTGTTTAATGATAGCCCCCAGATCATCAAGGACTCTTCCCACTGTATAAAATATCTCAATGATTTAAACTGTCCTCTTATTATTTATAAGAGTTCATTGCTCTCTGAATTATGGGTAATACATAGTATAAACTTAGAATGTATTAAGAAGTAGTTTCTGAGTTTAAAATAAGTTTATACTTTACCTTTATTCTGTGTCATTAAAACAGTTATTTGAGCACAGTTTAGATGTGCATTAACTTAGACAATGTTATTATTCAATGCTATCAACTATGACATGACTAATAAGTCAGTACACTAAGGACCTTTGCTTTCTACTCCAAATGTATGTTCAGTAAATACCTCCTATAAATTTCAATTAAAATAGGAATAAAAATCAAGGTGATTAACTTTCAACTTATCCAACCGTAACAATGAGTTGAAATTCTTAAAAGTAATTGAAGATGCATTACATTTAATTCTAATCTCTAA